ACGTGTGTGCTGCAGAGCGCCTCCGACTATTGCGCCACGCGCGCCCTTAGGAGAAGATTAGCAGCAAACAATGTAATATTTCCAGAACTCCACACCGCTGCTGTCTACGTTGAGGACCGTACACGCTGTAACCCTTTCCGAGGGCTAACACGTTCACCACCACAGCATACAAGTCCTTTGTTTCGCATTTCTCTCAGCCGTGTTGTTGACTTATAAGCGCTATCAGCAAGCAACGGTCAACGAGATTGGTCTGGGGAGCACAAATCAGCATGAACCCAGTTAAGCCAAAGTTGTAGTATAAATTGCAATGTCATCAATTACTATTTGCTGCCTACTAATTTTTAATGACGGGGTGTTGTGTGGAATATAACCATAATGTTTCTGAGATATTTAGAAAACTAGGACCACACGCCAGATTCGCGGGTTAGGCATTATGCGCTGACGTGAAAAAATATATAATATAAAAAGTTAAGCATTGTGATTTCGAACATGGCCTCAACTCAACTGGGTTAATTGTCGATTTGTGCTCCTTAATTCATTCCCGATGACGGATGTCTGCTGATGGCATCATTAGGTAGAAAACGGGCTGAGCGAAAGCAAAACCAAGGGTCTCAGACAGAGGGGAGCTAACATATCATGTGAGCGCCCGAAAAAGGTAATCGCGGCAATGAATCCGACCTATGTTTCGAATTTTGAAAATAACTCAACAATATTAAATAGATTCGCCATTTTCTTGATATTTTCTTGTGAGACTGTTGCTATACCTTTTATTCACAAAAGCTGACGTTTGCCCGAGTTTTGCCATTTTCAGAGCGTGGAAAGCTCAACTTGACTGCAATCTACCCACCAAAACACCTCGGTAACTCAAGCTCAAGAATAAGGCAAACCAGATTTTAGTCGCACTGAAAACAAGTTAGCTTCTTCGCACACTCACCGATTCCTCAGATTCTTTCACTGAGTATTTCACGTGATGAGCAACCACACAGAGTTCACGTGGGACCGTAATGTGCCTGCCTCACATTAAAATACGCATTTTATAATAATATACCAAGAAAAATAATAATGATTAAATTTAAGAAATAAAAATAAGAGTAATAAAAAAAACAAAAATATTAGATAATAGTATAAAATAACAACATTAAAAAGTAGTAATAAAACTACAACGAAACAAATAAACGACATGAAGCAAACAGTAATAAACATCAGTGATAAATAACAGCGAAAATAATAGTAAAAATAATGAAAACGACGAAATAATACTAACATAAAAATGAAGAAAACAACATGGTGAAAAATAACAAGAAGAAATATAACAATAGTATAAAACAACTGCAAATGCATATAAAGGCATAATATTAAAAATAACAATAATGTAATCACAGCTTATTATTTACTGCCTACTCTTTTTAATAACAAGGTATATTGCAAAATATAACTTCAGTGATGCCGAGATATTTGCAAAACTCCTGACAATGGTGTGGGGGTGGACGCGTTGCTCCCCGGAAAGCACAGTAGCGTGTTCGTTCTCCACCGCATACACCTGCGGTCCGGAGTCTTGCAAATATTTCAGCATCATTGGTGTTATATTTTGCAATATACCCTGCCATTAAAGAGAGTATGAAGTAAATAATAAGTTAAAATTGTGATTATGACTGTGGCCTAGCTTAACTGGGTTCTTTGCCGATTTGGGCTCCCCAGATCAATCCCGCTGAAGGGTGATTGCTGTGGCAAAATGATCGATAGAAATAGCTGAGAGACAGGCGAAACGAAGGACCCGCATGGTGTGGCGGTGGACGCGCTACTCCCGTAAAGGACAATAGCGCGTTCGTTTACAAATAACTCAGTATCATTGTGTTTGTATTTCAAAAAATAATACAATAATATTATTATTGAATATTAACTGTTTTTATTCATTGCCCACTACAATTAATATTAAATGTCATATAGTAGTGAATATAGTGTGTTATTGTTATTACATATTTGACATCATCTTCATTTAACATCATTTATTACAATGTGAGAGGGGCACATTAGCACCCCTTGTGAAACATGACAAAAAAAGCCGCAGCCCAGCGCCACCTCATTCGCCTTCTTCACAACGTCCATTTTCGCTTTGTCTTACTGGCTATGGTAAGAAAGTCAAACGCACTGGTGCCTCAGAAACCTCTTTGTCCTATTTGGTCGTTTTCTAAGTGACTGGCTCTAACGCGATTCCTTTTCCTTTTTTTTCCTTTTTTTCCGATTCCTCGAAGTCCAACTCTGCATCAAGAAAGGATATTTCATCGCGGTACTTAGGTCTTGTCACGAAAAGTCGTTTGACAAACCTTTTTTGAAAAGTGGACTTCTAGCGTCGGCGTTTCGTTGAATGTCAATTTAATTGTGGGAGACCCCCGATTTTATGTCGAGGCAATACAGATGAAATAGCGCCAATCCAATTTAAGCCGTGGCACCTGAGCTATTCTCCCATCCATGGCATTTTTTTTTTACAGTAGTTGCTTTCTCGTTTCTCGATCCCATTCAAAATTCGACATAAATTTCATTACAATAACCGATTCCCATGGGATTTTCATTGTCTGAATCTGCCACAAACGCCAATGTCGCTCCGAGGAGTTTCACTTAGGCTTAAACACTTTGGAGACACCATATGCTCTTAGAGAGGAAAAGAACTGCAAAAATGTCTGTTACGCTGGCGTCATTGTTTTACAAGTGCTGATTTCCAAATACTTGTTGCCTTCTGAGCGATATAATGCAAAAAATGTAAACTTTGCTTTCAGTCGAGTCTACAGTAATTGGTTAAGTTTTTAGGAGAAATAATGAATAGTGTTACCAACGTGGTTCGACTTCCGACGCTTCTCATTCCGCTCCTACTCACAGTCTCGACAGTGTTGGGTTGCGGAGTGATGCCACTAGTGCAATGTAATGAATATAAGATTGTTATAGTAGTAAGAAAAGCTGCAATTTTAAATACAGCGTTTGAACCTTGATTAGAATTCGACCTAGAGACAGATAAATTTACTTGCAGCGACAACCCGAAGGTTTACTGTAACCATGTTCAATTTACCAACACGACTGGCATACAGTACCGCAGTAGAAGTAAGAGCACAAGTTCCATTTATGTCCGCGAGCGAGGAGGCAGCCAGAGCTTTGATACAAAACCTTGTCGATGATTCGGTGAGAGACACACCTCTGTAGGCTAATGAAACCTCGGATTCACAATCAATGAAAATTTCAAGCAATCCATGCCCTATTCTATACGAGATCGCCTCCACAGTGTGATTTCTCTTCAGGTTAGGGAGGTTCTGGAGGAAAACGGACGCCGAGCTCTTCTACCAGACTTCGTGACAGCAGCGATTTTAGACCAAATACAGGTGCAGATCAACTACCAACCACTTCGATGCGCGGCGGTTTCGGTTAATGCAATGCCGATGATGGCACTACAGCGTGAGTTTGTTAATCATTGTTGTATTGCCATTATATTGGTTTGTCGTGGCTTTCAACCATTTGTAAAACACAATGCTACGAGTTTATTTACGTTTGTTTCTTAAAACTAATAAAGAGTACAAATAGGAAGTAGTCAGTAAGTGAATCTGTCGTGGGTATTCGCTTGAACTGTTTCCTCGACGAATATTTGGGATTCGAAATTAGAATTAGAACATTTGAAATTTGATATTTGAATTTGATATTTTTAATATTTTGCAATTTTGAAAAATGGAACTTTAGCAGCGGCAGGGAATATGAGAGAGAGTTGCTTCGTCACCGGAGATATAGTAAGCGCCATATGTCCTCTCATGGCCGACAACATGGTTCAAAATTGCCAACTTGTGGGAGGAATGCAAGCAATAGCAGTGCCGGACCAACATCACTGGAACGATCACGGTTATAAAGAAATTTTAATATGTTGATTTAAAACAGCCTATAGCTTGAAATGATGGATGTTTTTAGATTAGAAACACAGTCTTGTCTACCTGGACCACACAGCAATGGCAGTCTGTCCTGAACAGAGTTCTTCGTCTTCTAACACCACGCTTGGGAACGGCTTTTTCCTTTGCGACTGTCACTGTTATTTGAAATGCAGTCGGAAAGATTTCGAAAGTCTGCATTTTTTGTTGGTGTGAAACCCTTTTGTGGCATTCATTGTAGGCTTTTCACCATTCTTTCTTCCGGTCTTTCTGGGTTTTACTAAACAGTATTGTTAATGGAGATTTCAAAACAACGTTATGATTAGTTTGCTGTTATTGCAGTACTGGGTTCCACCAATAGATTGTTTTTCGTAGAGTAAATTTATGCTCTTATTTGTTGTTGAAATTAGGTGTACGAATCCATTAAAATCCAAATAGAAAGAATTGACTCGAAATCTTGCACCTTCCTTAGGTGATGCATCACATTAACAACAGCTGGCACGGCTTGTAGTTGTTCCTACGACTGACTCTCTATTAGCCTCGGCACTGATCAAATAGTTCTCGATATTTTTGTTGAGCGAACACGCGGCAGAATCGCCTTCTTCAGAGTACGGAAAGCTATATTGAAAGGCAATTTACGACGTCAAACACTATAATAACACATACAGAAAGATGAAAATCTAAATTGCAATCGCGCGATCAACAGCTTCTCGGAAAAACCCATCGTTCATTACGTGTTTTCCATTGAGGAAGAGCATCTGACCAGAGTCGCATATGGTCGATAACTGCACCACCACACATCAAAAGTCGACGCGAAGGTACGGGGCGAGATCAAGAGTGATCTGCGGGCGTTTCTCGCCACTATTCCTTTCAGAGTTCCTGGTATTTATCCAAAAAGCTTCTAGAAGTTTGCTCGCTAATGTTTTGGCATTTCGTGCTATGCTATTGTATCCTACGTGTCCCTAGTGGGGTATTTGGTCTGGAGTCTGGCTTTTCGTTTGCCATCTAGGTGTTTTTTTATACGTATACCTAAAGGTCTGCTTTCGCCAATATATTCAACTTTGCAAGTATTACAAGATACCAGGCATATCGTTCCTGAACTCATAAAGCCACCGTTCCTGCGGTAAGGGCAAATGACGCAGCTTTGTGCTCTGCGTAGACGTTCATAAAGGCGGTGACGAACACAACTAACGCTACGGATTCCTCAAGGCCTTTCCTTCTTAAGCATAGTTCGATACTTGCTTGATTCTTGAATGGCCCGTGCTCAGTGCTTGTTTGGGCTCCAGCATAATGTCCGTATTTCGGAGATTTGCTGGTTAAGCCATTGCGGTTTCCTGAAATCGCGTGGTCAGCTTGGCCAAAATCTGCTCCAGGTCTACACGACCACGGGCAGTCGCAGACTTTGTAGATCGGAGGAAAATTCACCACCATGCGACTTTGATACCAGGACGGTGGTAGGTCCTGGTATTGGTTTACTCTTGGCTAGGCTTCCTGATGGAAACGCGGGAATCCTCCACGGTTTTGGAGACCCTGCCACGGTATGAATCTCCGCTGTACATCGCAGTCCGACACCCATGAGCACATCCCGGCCACAATGAGGCGGTAAACCGTTGGAAGGAGCATCGTTCTATAGCTAAACTTATTGAATCGCTAATGAAGGGTAACATAGACGTGATTTGCTTTTGGCCGAGTATTTCGTTTTGGGGCAACGCTGTCCTTCTAAACTTATCTCGTAGGATTACTATTTCATAGCCATTGGAGATGGCTACTGGCCAAGCTAAGCTGCGCGATTACTCGTTTAGTTCCCTCTCCGGGCACCCAAGGCTGGCTGCTCGAAACATGTTTCTTTTAAGCTCCCTTTTTGTCTATGAAGGGTGGAAGAGAGGAAATGAACGAGGATGTTCTTGTTTTTTCGTTCACGGTACCGTTTTGTCATGTAACCGTTAAAACGAATTTTCGTCAAATTTTTTCTTACTAGTTCAAACTTGCTCGTAGTTCTGATGAAGGTAGTGTTGCTAAACCAACAGTGCGAACATGGTTCTGGAAATTCCAATCTGGTGATTTCGGCCTCGAAGATAAGGAAAGCTGCGGAAGGCTAGTAGAGGCAGGCACGCAAACAAGTGCTTTATAATGACTGTTTCCGCAGCCGGTGGTCCGCAGACGGGCTGACTCATCACAGCTTTTTGAATTCGGACGAAACGATTACGGCAGCGAAGTGTTGCCAACAAATCGACGAAATATACCGTAAACTCCAACAACAACGACCATCATTAGTCAATGGAAAAGCACAACGATGCCTGGCGCCACGTTGCCGAACTAGCGCTGCGGAAGTTGAACGAGTTGGGCTACGAAACTTTGCCTCATATGCCATATTCTCCAGATCTCTCGCCTACCGACTATCACTTCTTCAAGCACGTCGTCAACCACCTGTGCGAGAAATGCTTCACGAACCACGCCGAAGCAAAAACGAATTCATCGTTTCCAGAACTGCAGGGTTTCAAACAACTGGAATAAGCAAACTTGTTTCTTTTTGGCAAAAATTTGTAGATTGAAATAGCTTTTATTTTTATAAAGTCTTGTTTAATGCTAAATTATGACACTTTAAATAATATAGTTAAAAAGGCTCGTTTATTTCTGAGCCACCTAATAACAACCTCGTGTGTCCTTGTTAAAAAAAACAGCAAATTATTGACCAATGCCGAGGTTTACAGTAAGTCGGTCTTGGGAATTAAATAGGTTGTTAAACATTAATACAATGCATAAAAGTATATTTCAAAGAAGCTATGCTGGAATCCTTACCAGGAAGTCAGCTGGTTATCGTGAACTGGCGGCGTCGCTTTCGATGTTGCATAAAGCCGTTCACTTTTAATAAAATGGGAATCATCAATAGTATAGGAAGAGCTGTTGGTAGTTGTTGTGAATGGATCGCCTTAATTTTTACTTTTTTTTAGAAAAGCTAGAAACGAAAGAAAACTTTACAAGCACTTTATGAAGACTGACCTGTCGTGCATATCAAAGGCATTGCATGAGGCGTAACCCGTTAAGCAGGCGGGTTTTCAACAGTGATTTCATTGCATGGACCACATTCAAACTGTGTCTAGGCTCATTGAAGTTCGTCGAAATTACCACCTACTCCTAGTGGTCACATTTTTCGACTATGAAAAAGGGTCTGACAACGTCGAAACGAAAGCAATCCTATTAACACTCGTCGACTATGGAGTGGACCAGAGTCCCACACAAGAACTCTGTATGACTGTTAGCAGAACTGCACTACGAAAATGCAGCTTTCCATTCAACGACCTGAAAATCCACGTCACTTTTTCGATTCAACGATCGGCCCAGCGCTCTGTTATGGTGCAAAGACGTGGGGTGTTACTTTAGTCACTTCGAAAATATTGCAAACTGCGCAGAGAGAGCTTGACCAATGTCAAATACAACCGGCACTTCCATAGAAAAACAAAATACAATACAACGCTAGCTGACGCTTCGGCAGTATCGCCTTCTTCAGAGCCGCTTTTTCGTGACTTCCAATGAGGAGTCGTCAACCACATGCGACAGCTGTTCTAAACTTCCTCATTGGAAGTCACGAAAAAGCGGCTCTGAAGAAGGCGACTGCCGAAACGCCAGCTAGCGTTGTATTGTATTGTGTTTCTCTATGGAAGTGAATGTATGCTGTTTAAAAACCTCGCGATTGCTGAACAAGAAAACGACACATTCATATTCCAATGCCGAGGTTGAGAGAAAGTAGATCCTGGGAACAACTGGCACTCTCAATATCTAGCCGGAAGGCGAAGCTCTGATCTACGAAATGTGTCATATCTTCGAGATTAGGAAGAATGTACGTCGATAGCGAAACATAGATGTGCCGGTCACATAATGAGAAGAAGAAATGACAGATGGACGAGAAGAACTGTAGACTGGACTTCACGGGAATGCAAACGTCCTTTAGGACGGCTACCTACACGTTGGGCGGACGCGTTCATAACCAAAGTTAATCGGATGCACTTGCAACCGCAGTTGTTTTATAGATCACGGTGTGAGACTCTCACGCGCCACCATGCTCGAATAAAATTACCGCTATGGAAGCCGATTGCCAGATAAAGAAACGAATGACAAATGTGCTAGGGTACGCACAACTCGTGAACCGGAACCGTCCACGTATTCAAGTAAGTGATCTTTCAAACGATTCTTTCCCAAGCCTTGATAAAAATGGGGCTCCACGTTGATACCAAAAGCAAAAAGTTTGAAAAACATAGAATGGAGAATTAAAAGCTAAAATCTGCTTCACTTTAGCTAAAACAAAGTTGAAATTCAACTTTGTTTCAGCTACAGCAGGCATGCATAAATAGTTATGTTTCACTTGAGAGCTTCATAAAACTTGCTGCAAAAGATTGACTAGTTCTCCATAGTAAAAACTGGCTATTTTATAACAATAACAGAATTATACAGAATCAACTAAGTGGAAGCTAACCGGAAAACTCCCAAGAAAATGATGCGCATTTCAAAAGTGGGAGTCATATCTGAGCAGCGAGGGCACGCTCATCTAGGCCAAATGTGCTTCACATTATCATCAACGCTTAAGAAAGCTTTAGCATTCTAATAGTCCTTTAATTTTATCCTAATTATTGACAGGTTTGCGTCTTATAGTGTCCGATCAACTACATAGTTTCTGGTTCGATCACAGCCTACAGGAAGCTTTATCAGGGGTATATGAAATTTGAGAGAAAAACCATTTGCTTAGAATTAAACAACTTTCATAAAGAAGACCAAAGAGATAGAACCGAATGAAAGAGATGCTAGGATTTTCTGGAAAGTCAGAAGTTTAGAAGCTTGAAAGAGAGGAAAAATGTGATGACGGATAGTGTGAAAAGAATAAATATGGAATAATATGTCATTAGTAGCCATTTTCTCCAGTGATATTACTAAGTCCAACTCGACTCGTTCATTCGATCTTAAAACCAGACGCTTTTGTTCTAGAATTGAAATTTTTTCTTAAGCATTAGCATTATTGATATGATACTATCTATGACTTGACTGACCTTCATTAAATTTCGTCGACTTCCTCCTCATGACAGTCGGTGGGGTGATGCCCGACGCTTGAACAGTGTAATTTAAGATCTTAACTATGCATCTTTCTTTCATCTTGCCTTTTGATTACGATGGTTAAATGTAGAATTATTGTGAGGCAAAAACTCTTACATAATAATGCCTCTCACCAGTTGTTTTCAATAAGCTAACACAAGAATTTGAACAGGGTTTTGGTAGAGCACAAGCAAATTCTGTTGTTAGTCAATGCAAAGCATTCGAAGTATTTGAAACATGTTTTGCAGCGAGTATGAGTCGCATTGAATGAAATGTCCTTATAACATCACAATTATAGACAGCGATGCAAAACCTCTGACGAGTTCGGTGAGCAGCGAGAGAATTACGAAAGGGCGGATGTGAGCCTAAAACTAATGAAAACATGACATTTCGATGCGCGCAACATTTTAATTACTCTATAAAATGTTTTGTCCAGCTCATGTGTTAATTTGATGCCGGAGACATCCCAACGAAGAAGAAAAAGTAATTGATTAGTAATTAGACGAAAGTACTGCACGAATATAACGGATTGAGCAGAGGTCTGAGTAACTTTCGATCGCCTCACTTAAACACGGATGTGACGACAGCTCACAAAAACTTTATTTTCTCTCTACCATTATTACTGCTACTGTTATTATTGTGAAGTGGACACCTGCAGTCCTAAGCTTTTCAAATATCTTAGCATCATAGCCGTTACATTTCACTTAATGTCCTGCCGTGAAGAAAACAATGGGCAGGAGATAAAAAAGTTATGCGTTGTGATTGTAGCTGTTATTATTATTGTATATGTATCTCATACCGGTCAGTGCTTAAAGGTGTCTTGAAGTACACACGAGATCGTTGGTTTGCCGTCGGATCCTAGGCAAACCGATCGTTGGATCATTCTGAGGTCGATAGATTGGTACTAAACTTGTTTGGGAGGCCGGAAGGCTCGACATGATAAATATTTAAAGCGCTGAATGTCATTTTAGAAGTCATGCATACTTTTAGTCATCTCTGCGAAGGCCAGGGTAGGGTGCATATAATGCAACAGCTAGTGATGCAATCCATCAAGAATCAAAGTAGAGGTTCGATCTCAATTCCCCACACTCTCCCAATCCAACTGGGACCCCTTTAGCTTGGCTGCCTACAAAACACCGAGGTGCATCGGCTTGACTATCATTTTACAACATTGGTAAAAAGGATATGCAAACCTCAAGCAGTAGCCGAAACAACACGCGAAATGTTCGAGCACCACTGTGAATGATGAATTGCGAGGAAAACGAGTCGAATGCAAGAAGTGCTGGGATCGGCACCGTGGGTGTGATGACGAGCCATGCAAAAAAATACGAGGACTAATCAAACCGGAT